AACAAGGCAATGGTGCAAAATCGTTATCCATTGTCGAGGATTGATGACTTGTTCGATCAACTGCAAGGTGCCTCTATGTTCTCGAAGATTGAGGTCAGGATATCATCAGTTGCAAGTGGCAGAATCCTCCATCTCGAAGATAGCTTTTCGTACTCGGTATGGACACTATGAGTTCCTGGTTATGCCTTTTGGATTGACCAATCAGCGGCAGCTTTTATAACACTAATGAACAACGTATTCCATGAGTATTTGGACAAGTTTGTCATCATGTTCATTGATGACATCCTCATTTACTCAAAGAGTGACGATGAGCACAAGGAGCACTTAAGAATCACATTGCAGAAGTTGAGGGATGAGAAGTTTTATGCAAAATTCTCCAATTGAGAATCACATTGCAAATTCTCCTACAAAAGGTTTGTAGAGGGCTTCTCGAGCATCGCCATACCCTTAACCAAGTTACTGCGCAAGGGAGTGACTTATATCTTGAGTAAGGAGTGCCAGGAAGCGTTCGAGGAGCTTAACTACTGCACCGGTACTATCACTACCATCAAGCGAGGGAGAGTATGCCAAAGTATCCTTATTCAACAAGATCTTCAAGGCATAGTAGTTGAGTGGAGATTTTTGAAAAAACCAGCCAGCAGGTGGTATTTCCAGTCTAGGGTCAATCAGTTTCACCTTGCGCTGCTCATTTCCCCCAGAATTGGCCAGCACAACTGCAAACAATAAGAACAAACAAAAACATGTATAACACCAGGATTTTACTACCAACACATCCCAACTTCACCACCAAGCATCCCTTAAATCTTGACAAATTGAAAAACATTGCAAAGGGATCCAACAAAAATCAAATTTGGAAAGTCCAAAGCAATAACTTTCCTCATTATAAAAGAGAGTTATGATTGTTTTAAAACAGAGGCAAACACCAAAAAAAGCACTCTCCAACAACTAGTCCAGGTCTGACTGTTTGGGGATAGAAACAAATACATAAAAATCTTTTCCATCAATAATTTGTGATGGATATCATCTCGAACCGAATTCCCCTCATGGTTCAGTAGATACAATGCTAAATCAAGCTTCTCCTCGTGATTGTCAAACTGAAAGTGTAAATGAAATGCATAAGAAAATAACGAAAACACTTCAATTACAATAATAACAAGATAAGGGATTGCAGCCACCTTCTTTCTCATTGCCCGTGCGAGTTGATCCATATAGCCACTAGATTGCATCAATTCCAAGACAAAGACCCCACAGTCAAACCCGCCCCCAAAACATTAGAAACAAAAATGAAGTCAAAGAGCTTATTGGAAACCACACAAGTCATGAGAAACAAAATGAATAACCTTACCCATTCTTCTGTCTTGGGGAATTAAAAACCTCTTCTACGGTGAAAGAGGACAACATATTGTATTCAAATCGATTGAAAACTAAATCCAAAAAGATTGAGTCCAGTTCTTTAGCTTCCATGAAGCACAAGATTGAGGGCAATTCCAACGAGCCTAATATCTGCAACCGCCGCATTTGCGCTAATCCATGATGGGTGTGGAGCTTACTTAGCCTATTATATGGCAACACTAGAGGTTAACTCGAAGAGGTGGAAATCGGGAAGGAGTTTCCAGACGTATTTCCAGAAGATCTTCCTGGATTACCTCCGAGAAGAGAGATTGAGTTTAACATCGAAGTGGTGTCGGGTACTGCTCCAATCTCAATACCACCATATCGAATGGCGTCAGTAGAAATTAAGGAGCTAATGGAGAAATTGCAAGAATTACAAGATAAGGGATTCATTCGCCCCAGTATATCCCCATGCGGAGCCGCGAGTCTCTTCGTGAAGAAGAAAGATGGGAGTATGCAGATGTGTATCGACTATAGGAGGCTGAACAAGGCAATGGTGCAAAATCGTTATCCATTGTCGAGGATTGATGACTTGTTCGATCAACTGCAAGGTGCCTCTATGATCTCTAAGATTTACCTAAGGTCAGGATATCATCAGTTGCAAGTGGCAGAATCCTCCATCTCGAAGATAGCTTTTCGTACTCGGTATGGACACTATGAGTTCCTGGTTATGCCTTTTGGATTGACCAATCAGCGGCAGCTTTTATAACACTAATGAACAACGTATTCCATGAGTATTTGGACAAGTTTTTCATCATGTTCATTGATGACATCCTCATTTACTCAAAGAGCCACAATGAGCACATGAGCAATTAAGAATCACATTGCAGAAGTTGAGGGATGAGAAGTTGTATGCAAAATTCTCCAATTGAGAATTTTGGCTAAAGGAAGTGTTGTTTCCAGGAAAGGGGGTGGAAGTAGACCCTAAGAAGATAGAGGCGGTGGTGGAGTGGGTGCCTTCAAAGAACGTCCTGGAGTTAAGAAGCTTTCTAGCCATGACTAGGTATTACAAAATGTTTGTAGAGGGCTTCTTGAGCATCGCCAGACCCTTAACCCAGTTACTGCGCAAGGGAGTGACTTATATTTGGAGTAAGGAGTGCCAGGAAGCGTTCGAGGAGCTTAACTACTGCACCGGTAATAGCACTACCATCAAGCGAGGGAGAGTATGCCAAAGTATCCTTATTCAACAAGATCTTCAAGGCATAGTACTTGAGAGGAAATTTTTGAAAAAACCAGCCAACATGTGGTCCTTCCAGTCTAGGGTCAATGAGTTTCACCTTGCGCTGCTCATTTCCCCCTGAATTGGCCAGCACAACTGCAAAGAATAAGAACAAACAAAAACACGTATAACACCAGGATTCTACTACCAACACATCCCAACCTCACCACCAAGCATCCCTTAAATCTTGACAAATTGAAAAACATTGCAAAGGGATCCAACAAAAATCAAATTTGGGAAGTCCAAAGCAATAACTTTCCTAATTATAAAAGAGAGTTATGATTGTTTTAAAATAGAGGCAAACACCAAATAAAACACCCTCCAACAACTAGTACAGGTCTGATTGTTTGGGGATAAAAACAAATACATAAAAATCTTTTCCTAATTACTCGGGAATCTGACTCCTTTCCGAACCGCCCTCAACAGAATCGTCTCGACCCACACTTTCCATCAATAATTTGTGATGGATATCATCACGAAACAAATTCCCTTCATGGTTCAGTAGATACAATGCTAAATCAAGCTTCTCCTCGTGATTGTCAAACTGAAAGTGTAAATGAAATGCACAAGAAAATAACAAAAACACTTCAATTACAATAATAACAAGATAAGGGATAGCAACCACCTTCTTTCTCATTGCCCGTGCGCGTTGATCCATATAGCCACTAGATCGCATCAATTCCAAGACAAAGACCCCACAGTCAAACCCGCCCCCAAAACATTAGAAACTAAAATGAAATCAAAGAGCTTATGGGAAACCACACAAGTCATGAGAAACAAAATGAATAACCTTACACATTCTTCTGTCTTGGGGAATTAACAACCTCTTCTACGGTGAAAGAGGACAACATATTGTATTCAAATCGATCAAAAACTGAATCCAAAAAGATTGAGTCCAGTTCTTTACCTTACATGAAGCACAAGATTTGTCGCAATACATACGAAAATGAATAATCACATATGCTTGATCATATATCGAACATGACTTACTATCTGTAACACTTTTTCCTTCTTCCTAACTGGATCAAGACAGTTGGGAGTAAATCCCAGATATCTATCACCTCTTTTCTTCAGGTCAAAAACACATAGAAAGATATGGTTGTCCAGCATAACAGGGACGAAAATCTGACATGTACGCATATTACTTCAGACTCAACAGAAATGCTATTAGGTACGCAATTTGGAGAGGTTCCCAGCAATTGCCACAAGTTACCTTCTCACAATCATTGAATTCCTCATAACATTACACAGTTTTCATTGTTTTCTCAGACGCAGCAAAGACACGATCCCCAGTTGCATACTACACCTGAAAAGTATAAATATATCAAATCATAAGTAGTTAAACAACCGGTTCACTCTTTAATAGCTACATAAGATTGCAATTTTTACTGTCTAACCAGCCATAATGGTCACGTTAATGATACCTATCGAACACAAGTTGTAAAAATAACTAATTAAGTATGCGACTTATTGGACAGGAGCAGCCATAAACCTTTCAAATTAGTTAACAAGTTCCACACATAACAACAATTGGGTACAGTTTGGCATCAGTACCCAATCATTCAAAAGGACGAAAGTTTTAACGAAACAAAAGTTATCCTATTCTGTACAGACTAGAACCTGGCCAGTGGAAAGAGTACCCTCACTGATCACTGCTACAAAAATAAGCAACACAGTAGAGTATAAAACTAATGAACTTACAACAAATGCAGGAAGTAAGAACCAATTCACACAATTTTCATTATGCATCTCAAGCACCGTTAACAGGTCAATGCACATAGAGATGACCTGCACAAATATATAAACCAAAAAGTATATCATGTACAAAGCCTAGCTCGTTAACTATGCCCATTTATAAATCCAAGATCAGTTGTATACGAACCTTGGTTGACAATGGTAAATATGGTTGTAAGACATTCACCTCTCCACGTTTCAAATGAAACCATGGAGATTTGACAAACTCCTCACTACAACAAAAAATATACAATTCAATCTTTCACGGGTGCCTTTAATTTTTGAAAAATGAATTCTACAAAAATAATTACAATGAAACAAAGTTATTGAAATACCTTGCATTCTTTGTTGGATAAAAAACGTGGCTGATCATCCATTGTTGATATGGCCTTCGTAGTGATGAAGGGGCCAACCACCTGTTTTTTGCCATCTCTCCTCCCGTATATTGACGGGTCCTAATACGACTACGCAACTTAATTGGAGACCACATAACACGTTTCCCCTATCATTTAACAATTTTAATAAAATCCGTATACAAGAAAGCAAAGCAAAAAAAAAAAAACATAAGAGGGAGGAGACTACACAACCTTTCTCCTTGATGCTGTGTTTTTCGCATTATTTTGACTCCTTGTTGCCAATGAGGAGCTATCAGAACTTATGTACAACAACTCAACCACATCGTCATTCTTCTCCCCTTGACATTTTCACAGTTCTGATCCGACTCCCCAATCAGCAGGTCCCTTAGCGAATGCAGTGTTGTCTTAATGTCGTTCATATCATCCTTCAACTCCCTTTTCATAGATATCTGACTTTTTCCCAAGTCGGCCACAAGGGAATGTAGGTTTCTGAACTGTATAAGAAAGACCAAGAGAGTTAGGTTCATGAAATAAAAAACAAAAGAATTAAGGTCATCGTAAGAAAAACTTTACCTCAATCGATTCTGTCGCTATCCTATCTAACCCGAACATAACATAAAAAACGTAGTTTTAGCAGGGTCCATAAGAAAACTAACCCTTCCATTACACCAATTCCTAGTATCCTTCTCCCCCAAAATACGAAGATTAATTCATTCAGATGAGTAGCTTATATAGAAAAACATGTGTAGAGATGAGATGAAGAAGGAAGAGGACTCTTTGAAAATCTTCTGTTGTAATCTGTTAGGTTTTACAATTAAAAATGAATAAACCAATAAGCTTCATACCTGCTCAAAACTTCTTACCAGAATACGTGGGGATCAAAATCCCAATTTTATTAGGTCTCAAATCTATACAATTATGCTATATAAACTAAATTAGTTTCATCAATTCTTTGTTCACATAATAAAATATCAGTAAACATAACAAATTTGCAAGGACGCTAACCACTATATTAATAATCAGATTCTATAGTTTCAAAGAAAGTCCTATGATATTACATGTTCCCTCGTCAAATAGTAGCGAATCCATCAACAGTCTGCCCTGAAACCATGAATATAGCAGCATCCCTGCAAATATTCATCAATTGGATACATCAGCTCAGTGCAATATGATATGTGAAGTTTGAAGATTAACGATCCTCAAAACCAAGATATGGTTAAACCTTCCCTTCACCACTATTGTGAGTTTAAATCACAGAGAGCTAAATGGCACCAGAACTAAGCCCATCGGAAAAACTTTACTAAACTAATGCTCTAGAACTGCATGAAATTTGGGCCACATCAAACACTTTCTTCATCACACAAGCAAAGAGTATCAAAATCCAAAAGATGATTCTCATCTGATTACCCTATTCCGTAGCTTTGCACATTTAACAAACAAAGAAATGAATCTCCCTCATACTGCACTTTTTCTCATTGATTTCCTTCATTTGATAAACCATGCAAAACTTATTGAAGCGGTAATCATGGAGCAAGAAGCCATCAAAGACAAAGCAATAAGCAGACCACACGGTGGGAAACAAGTAGACATTTTGTTGACAATGCATAATGAATTGAAAAATAGCAGTGAGTCAAAGTAATGATTCATTCTTGTTCGTCAAAATAGCATGAAAAACTCACCAAGTACACCTGGCGTGCCAGCAGCAGCTTGACTGCCAAAGCGTGGATGCCTGGAGGAATCAAAGTTCTGGTGGTGCAATTTCTTCTGGCTTCTTGAGCAAGCTCCTCATACTCCTTCACAACAACATGCCCTAATCCATTGTATGTACTTCTGCAGATTCTGCTTTGCTCCACAGTGTTCTTAAACCCCATCTCCCTCAACTCCTTCCTCGAATACTTTCCATTCACCGGATAGAAACCTTCAATTAAAAGTACCCCTTGTGTTGATCTGTAATATTAGCATGAAACATTAACCACCAGAGACTCACAAGCACCAATCCTCTACTAAAGTTTGCCCTCCTCAGAGTTGCTTTCCTATAAAGTAGTAGATCTGTTGAAGAGCAATTGTTTTACCCGTTATGATCAAAACTACAACAACTTGCATAGGCTGGAAACAAGGAACGAAACAGCTTTGTCACAACAACTTGCATAGGCTGGAAATAAGAAACGAAACATGTTTTTCCCAAATAGTATTGTTATCATCTGAGCAACGAAATGGAACTGCATTCTTGAAAAAACGATTAAACAAAAATACAAATTTTAATTATGAGGAACACATATGCAGAGAGTAAATTGGAGGAGTTGATTTGGTTTAGCGTCTCCTTCTGTAACATACGCACCGATCTTTGGAACTGCCATGCTGGTTTCTTCTACACAACATCTGCGCAACTGAGCACAGCTGCTCTGTTAGCCTCTGTTAACGGCGCTAGATTATGGCTGACGTGACTAACAGAATCGCCCAATCATCCTATTTTAACCAAAAAAATTTATACCTAACCTGCCACGTCATCACAACCTCAATTCAACCCATTACCCAACCCAATTTAAACCTATACACAATTAAACCGACCCTTATGTCATTAAGCCCACCACCACCACCGTAGAAAGAAAACGAAAAAAAGGTTCCTAATCCAAACAAACAAACAAACGCTTATTTTAGAAACAATGAAAATCCCCAATTCGAAAAAGCCCCACCACCACCATAGCCATTTAAATCTCTTCCCAATTTTAGATCCCTCAACTGTGCACAACCTAGAATGAGCCTATCATCATCACCTGCTCAACCATCTCTTTATAAACACTCATCGCCTCCCAAATTTGGGGATCATCCTTATTTTTTCCTTTTTTGCTCCAATGCTACATTCTCCAAATTTAGAGATTTTTTTTTTGTTTTTGTAAGTTTTCTATTACTTAAAAATGTACTTATCATCATCTTAATCAAATTTGCTCATGTTAATTTTTGTATAGTTCGTCATCATTTTTAAATACAAATTTTCCGATATAATTTTTTTTAATTTCGAGACAAAAAGTTTTTTGGCAAAAAATGTTTGCCCTAATTTTTCTTTACAAACAACACTTGAAAATTATTGATCTAGTTAAACTTCTAATTAATTCTCTAATTAAATACCAATTAACACCTAAAATCATAAAAAGAAAAAAAAGCCACGTGTCGAGGGTTGGTGGTTGTCTAACCCACCAGCACACCCCCTCCACATTTTTGGGGGAATCCCCATTTCCATCCTCAAATTTGGATTTGGAGATTGTCTCCAAATATAGAGACTCCCCCATTTATAGAAACTATACATTGGAGCCAACTATTCCTCATTTATAGAGAATGCCCCATTAATAGGGTCTCCATTGGACTCAACCTTAGCGTACGCAATCAACGAATTTCAAGAAACCAAATCTCTCATGCCCTGATCCCTGACGCTCGGATCCAAGAATCGCACCCGAACTCCAGGTTCTTCAGTTTCCTCTCACCCCTGACGTTGGGTTCTTTAGCAAATCCACCGCGAAAAATCTCCCTCTCTTTCAAATCTGGATTTTAGTTGGTGCGGTCGAGGAGGGGAAGGGGCACATGTTAACAAAACAGAAACGGATTGATCGGATAATGGAGAAGTAAAACAAACACTGACACCGGAGTTTACGTGGTATCCCTGGATCACCAGGACTAATCCACGGAAGAGCTTGGAACGCTCTTCAGGCTACTGATGTTATTGAATTGTATCAAGAGTTATTACCCCTACCACTGCACGATCCTCACTCTATATACAATATACAAGCCCTAGGGTTTGAGAGACTGCACCACGTCTACCTCTCATCTGCATGGGCCAATATGTATACGTACTATTTGTGGGCTTCAATAAATGGGCTCCACAACAATGATACAATAACTAAACCGTAGCCAAATTAGGAGATGCCTCAACATCCTCCCCCAAATTGATGCTGATCCCGAAGCATCAATTTGTTACTAAGATACCAATGCCGACTTGTAGAAAATGGCTTGGTAAACAGATCAGCAACCTGCTCTTCCGTCTGCAAATGATTCAATACAATCGTTCCATCACGAACAAGATCCCGAATGTAGTGCACATGTATTTCAATGTGCTTTGTACGATCATGTAACACGGGATTGGTAGCAATACGGTGGCACTGGTGTTGTCGACACTCAATGACATAGGCGCAGGGCATGTGATACCAAAATCAGTCAGGAGACGCCGAAGCCATACTATCTCAGAGCCAACTTCAGACATTTCCCGGTATTCAGCTTCTGTGGAAGACTTGGATACCTTATCCTGCTTCTTACATCGCCAGGATATATATGCTCCACCAAACTGAACACACCACCCAGAAGTAGACCGACGGGTATCAAGACAACCTGCAAAATCAGAATCGGAGTATGCACAAAGCGTAGGAGTACCAGAAGAGGGAAACAGAATGCCAACATCCTGGGTCCCTTGCAGATAACGTAAGATCCGATGAACTGCAGCCAGATGATCAACACAAGGAGCAGTCATAAACTGACTAACTACCTGTACCGCATATGAAATATCAGGACGAGTGGCAGAAAGATAAATCAAGCTTCCAACGATACTACGATACTGTGACCCATCCGTTAACCGAGAACCGGAATCCTGTTGCAGCTTCAGATTGACTTCCATAGGTGTCTTGACAGGTTTGCAATCCTCAAAGTGATGATCACTGAGAAGGTCTGAAATGTATTTCCGTTGACTGAGCAGAATCCCTTGATCATTGCGGCTAACCTCCAGTCCGAGAAAATAAGACAAATTACCAAGATCCTTGATACTAAAAGCTTGCTTCAACCCATCTTTAAGTTGAGTAATTCCCTTCGGATCGGTCCCGGTAATTACCATGTCATCAACATACAGTAAAAGGACGACAAGACCAGCGGCAGTTACCTTTGTAAAGAGGGATGGATCATTCAAGCTCTGACTAAAACCCAGCTGAGTAATCGTAGCTTGAAATTTCTCAAACCAAGCACGGGGTGCCTGTTTGAGTCCATAGAGGGAACGATGAAGAAGACAGACTTGATCCTCACGACCAACAGTATAACCCGGCGGACGCTCCATATAAATCACTTCTTCTAAATCACCGTGGAGGAAAGCATTCTTAACATCGAGCTGATAGAGGGGCCAATTCTGTAAAGCAGCAACAGCAAGTAAGGTTCGGACAGTCGACATTTTAGCAACCGGAGCAAAAGTTTCAGTGTAATCAATGCCATGCTCCTGCGTATAACCTAATGCAACGAGACGAGCTCTGTGGCGCTCCACCGAACCATCAGGAAGGACTTTTATGGCATAGACCCAGCGGCTACCAATCGTCGGTGGACAGGGGTTTGGGCGGTCCACCACTGTCCAGGTTCGATTAGCCTCTAATGCTGAAAACTCCACTTGCATAGCGTTATCCCATATAGGATTGCCCCTGGCTTGCTTGAACGTGGTAGGGACAACTTGAGTGTCCACACCCAAGGCCATATAATCATTAAACTTAATAGGGGGTACGCCTTTTGTGGCCCTGAGTGAGCGCCGAAGAGAAGGTTGAGCGGCGGGAGGCGAAGGACTTGTAGTGGCGGGCGTTGAGGAAGCAGAAGTTGATGTAGGCGAAGGACTGGTAGTGGACGTTGAGGAAGCTGAAGTCGATGATGATAATGAGGAAGACAGGTCGGAGCAGCCGGGAATGGGAGAGGGCAGATCGGGTGGAGTGGGAGGGATAGCTGGATCATCGGCTGTTGGAGCGTCATCAATGTCGATGTCATCAAAGAAAGGCAACGAAGAACGACCACCTGGAAACTCGATCTGAGACTCGGACTGAGGATAAAACATTTGATGTTCGAAAAAGACAACAGAAGCAGCTATGCGCATACGTTGGCTGGAGGGATCATAGCATATATAGCCCTTGTGAACGCTACTATATCCTAGAAAGACACAACGAACGGTTTTGGAGGTCAACTTGGTACGTTCTCGTTTTGGCAACAGAACAAAACACAGGCATCCAAAAACTCTAAGGCTGGAATAATCTGGATGACGCCCGTACAATGAGTAATAGGGACTCTTTTGATTTAAAAGAGGGGTGACCTGATAATTAATAAGACGCACTGCAGTAACTACCGCCTCAGGCCAAAAACGACTAGGAACAGAGGAAGCAAGTAAGAGAGCTCGGGTAAGCTCCATTACATGTCGGTTCTTCCGTTCAACTAAACCGTTCTGCTGAGAAACGCCAGGACAAGACATCTGATTCAAAATGCCACGAGAACGATAGACTTCGTGTAAGGGATTGGAGCTGAACTCTCCTCCTGGATCGGAACGAATAATTTTGACAGTTTTACCGAATTGAGTCTGAATCATATTAAGAAATTCGGTAGCAACAGAACGAAGGTCAGACTTCAATCTGAGAAAATATATCCAGGTATATCGTGTAGCATGATCGATAAAAAGAGCAAAATATTTAAAACCAAGACGAGAGATGGTGGGAGCAGGTCCCCAGAGATCGGTGTGAACAAGATGGAAAGGCTCATTGATGACAGTAACACTAGAAGGAAAAAATGTACTAGAAGTTTTTGCTTCAACACAACTGGTACAAGAATGTTTGGCGGAGATTCCAACACAATTTTTTCCAAGAAGAGACTGTTTAAACATGACTGACAACCGACTCGAGTGTGGATGCCCTAGGCGAGCATGCCAAAGTTCCCACACTTTATTTGACAAACCAGAAAACACAGGACCAGCAAAAGACTGAGTTTTGGAGGACATAGAAGAACTACCGACTGACTTGAGCACATGATGACTACTAGAAGACTGACTCGAAGAAGATGTACTCGTGCCTCCACGAAGTTCCTCCAAAAGAAATATCCTCCCCTGCTTACTCCCCCTTCCGATCTGCCTCCCCGTCTTCAAATCCTGAATAACACAGCCAGTAGGAGCAAACAGAACAGTACACCCTTGTTCAGTAAGTTGACCGACTGAAACTAAATTGGGAATCAATGATGGAACATGCAGGGTACGAGATAGCGAGATGGTAGGAGTATCTACTTTACCCACTCCTTTAACTGCCATTTGATCGCCATTAGCCACTGTCAAACCAACATGACTAATAGGACGTAGATCTTGTAAAGCTTTACTATCATTTGTCATGTGATTAAAACACCCAGAATCAAGCAACCAGGGTTTGTTTTTTAGTTTACCTTGAAGTGTAGAAAGTGCGGATCCAATGGCAGTTGGGAGGGAACTTTGTAACGCAGCTACTGCTTGAACTAATTGTTCAATTTGAGCTGCTGTTGGATTGCCCAAAGATGTACCACTTGACTCCCCACGTTCAACATTATAAGCAGCAGTATGATTGGGCCGAGCAGCCCCACGACCCCCAGCTCCATTTGAGGCCTGAAAATATCCCCGACCAGCACCATTTGAGGATTGATTATAACCCCGACCAGCTCCAGTGCCCATCGAAAAATTCCCAGCAAACCTCTCGGCATTCCTCTCGCGTGTGCGACATTCCAAGACTATATGCCCCATTTTCTTGCAGTATACACAGTAATTACGGCGACGACAATGCTTCACCAAATGTCCCTTCTCATGACAGTGATGGCACTCGAGTTCGGAATTAGGCACTCGACTATTAAATTGGGGACGCGAAACAGCAAAGGCTTGTGAACTTTGACCCGTACCTGACCTGGCCGACGCAGCAACAATTGTTTCGCCCTCTCCTGGACGTGAGTCGATTTGGGCTTGTGTTCGCAAACGAGTTTCTTCACGTATAAGACTAGCCAGCACTCCATCGAGATTCAGCTGCTCTCGGTTAAGAATATTTGATCTCACATTCTCAAATTCTGGTCTTAACCGCATGAGGAACTGCATCACCCGTCCCTGTAGTCTTTCAGCGATCATATCATCTGACCATGCCTGAGGACGTAGCGCCATATGTAAAATGTCCTGTTCAGTCCATAGCTCCTGAGCAGCGTTGAAGTATTCAGTAATAGATCGATCTCCTTGTTCTAATTGAGCAACAGCGGTTTGTACTTCAAACTGTCTGGCGGCATTCACAGTGGAATAAAGAGTTGAGAGATGCCTCCACATCCGATTTGCTGTAGTGAATAATCGAAGGCTAAGACAGGTCGAGGGATCCACTGATCCCAGCAACCACGACCGGATTCGTGCGTCGCTCCGGTTCCATGCGGCTCTCTCTTGAGCGGTAGCTGTTGCTTCATTCGGCTGCGGAATTGATCCATCCAGGATTCCCAACAATCCATGTCCTTCAATGAAAACCCGAAATTGAAATTCCCATAGAGCGTAGTTCGTCGAAGTGAGGCGTACAGTAGGCCTCTCTGATTCAGCTGCGGAAGGCTCTGATACCATGTTAACAAAACAGAAACGGATTGATCGGATAATGGAGAAGTAAAACAAACACTGACACCGGAGTTTACGTGGTATCCCTGGATCACCAGGACTAATCCACGGAAGAGCTTGGAACGCTCTTCAGGCTACTGATGTTATTGAATTGTATCAAGAGTTATTACCCCTACCACTGCACGATCCTCACTCTATATACAATATACAAGCCCTAGGGTTTGAGAGACTGCACCACGTCTACCTCTCATCTGCATGGGCCAATATGTATACGTACTATTTGTGGGCTTCAATAAATGGGCTCCACAACAATGATACAATAACTAAACCGTAGCCAAATTAGGAGATGCCTCAACAGCACAAGCGAAGCTCTTGATGGAGCTCTGGTGTCAGAGATGAAGAGAGCCAGGTCCCGGTGGCAAGGCGAGGAAATTACCGGAGGTGAAGCCGAGTTTCGACTCAGTGGGAAAGGTGGGATTTACAGCGAATGACAGATCTGCCTTATTCTGGATTCCTCTTCCTCTATTTTAATTTGGTATACAAATAGGAGAGGGAGGAGAAGACGGTGCCGCCCAAGGTAGGCCAGTGGTGAAGATGGAGTCGTCCTCGGTGTGGTGATGTTTATGTCGAAGGAAGTAGAATAAGAGAGGGCGGAGAAGAAGGAAACCGTCAAACTTGGGTTTTCGTTTTGGGTGGGTCGGGTTGGGTCGCTTATGGGTTAATGTGTTGTTAGATTTTGTGACGTGGCAGAATTTTTAAAGGCTCAGATTTTATTTTTTTCGGGTTAGAAATAGGTGGCTAAGCGAGTCTGTCAGTCATGTCAGCAAATAATTGAAGGTGTTAATGAAGACTGACGGAAGGTAACAAAGACTGACCAAATACGACATGTTTTACTAAACCTAATGATCAAGAATGGAATTAAATATTTTTAGGGACAAAGAACTTTTTTACCAATTCCAGTAACCAATCTTGTCATTTACCCAATAGAATTTATAGACTCTTCAGTAATGAAGGGTAGCAGTTCCATCAACTTGAAAAGCAAGTAACATAAACTGGAATGAAAGCTTGCTCCCCATTGAACAATGTAGTTACTGATTGCCATGCACAAACAAAAGTAGGGGAAATGAACGCTACAGCATGCTGTCAGGCTATCCACCCATGTATATATACAGGAGTGCATATAAGATTTGTGCCACGTCAGCCAGCGGAAAACAACCCTGAATTAGCGGAGGGGTAATTGTGACAAACCAGCAATTTTATGGGCTGGTTATCTAGGCCTACTAAAAATAATAGACAGAGAGGTAAAAGCTATCAATTTTTTAATGGAACAATTGCCTGCTAAAGGCAGATTTTTTGGCCCATCAATTTAGCACACTAAATTTAAACCCCAACCAGTAGCTACTTCTTTCGGGCCGGTATATTTGGCCACTTGAGGAGGAGATTTTGGAATGAGAAGATGGAGAGCACAGATGGGTTATTTATTTGGGGAGAACTCAATTAGTTTTAAATTGGAAGCATCATTAATATTAAGGAATTAGGAGTTGTGGTAATGTTAAAGGGGAAGGAAAGTGCAAAGTATGATGAGAAGTAGGAATGGTAATGGAAGGTCGGGGTGGGTAATTTGATACTCTTATATGTTCTGTGATAGGACATGTTTAGATTTGGTATTTTGTTATGGGTGTGGGTTGCGGAAAGTTGATTCATATGTGTATATATTGTAAAGGAAAACACTTGATACATTGATTTTTTTCATTAAAAATTTGACAAATAAACTATAACATGATAAGTATAGTTAGATTATTCAAGAGGACTTAAGGTTTTCATATATTTACAACTATAGTTAAAATATGATGTAACATAAGTAAAATCTTAAGTAAGTTATGCAAACATATATATTGTTATAAACGCGCTGCTACGGATCGGGAAATCGCCGGAATCGATAAAGCAAGAATACGAAAGCGAGAATCGAAAAACATAGACACACGATTTACGTGGTTCAGTAACACGATGTGTGTTAGCTACGTCCACGGGCGAGAGAGAGCCAGTTTCACTATATCGAGGAGATTACAGATTACAGAGGAGTATGAGAAGTATTTATAGTACTTCTCCATGTGGGTCTAAACCTAATCCAATTTGGCAAAGGAAACGGTTACAGTGAAACCTAATCCTAATCACATCAACATATATAATTTACAGTTAAACAATAACAGGTCAAAAATGGGGGTAGATAAGGTCGTGTAAGGTCGAGGACAGTACCCATGTCCGGCCTGTCTAGCCTACGGGGAGGATGTTACCCTCTCAAAACAGACCAAACAAGTCGGTTAAATAGGGTCGGATCGAAATTGTCATCCCTATTGAGAAGTGAGGATTCGTCATTGAGAAATGAATTTGAATGATGCACCGAGAAATTTTTATTTATTTCAGAGCCTATGCAAAGATATACGAAGCATGCATTAGCGGAAAGATAAATAAAGAAATTTCAACACAAGTCTACGTTGGGAGTAACAAAGAGTCAAACCCTTTAACTTAGCAAATGTATTTAAGAACGATGTCGAGGAATACAAATGGTAGGGATACCGGTTATGTATCAAAATAAATATAGAATTAGGGCACAACAAATTGGCAACCCTACTAATAAAGGAGTAGCCATCAACGCATATTAAATCAAGCGGGCTAATGTTCTTACCCGTAAATGTAAGTGGTAACATTTATATAATTACCACCGACACATACATGCAATGACTGAGATCTTAAATCACATTCATGTCGTTGCTCACACATGAGTCATGAGATACCATCATTGTAAAAAATTCCTCCGGCCAACCGGCCGGGCAAAATGCTAGTATAGTATATACAACTGTTCCGATAACCAAGAACATGCTGGTTTTTCTTTCCTCTCCCTGGCGTAAATCGATTTCTGTATAGTAATGGATGGATGCATCTCTTAGTTTAGGTTCTGCATACTCAGCTAACTATACAAAGTAACAAAACACTTACAGGTATGACATCAAGCATTCTACGGAAGGCCTAGATTGAGATATCATTCCAGTACCCTAGACCCAATGCAGTACGGTACTCTGTCACGCACTCAGCGACATAGAGGTAACTGAAGAGAGCTTGAATTTCCGGACCTTTGTCGAGTTCTGAGGCTGAAACACGACTTCTGTACTCGATCTTACAGTTTCTTCATTCCACTCGGACGACGTGGCACCTTCGTTTAGAAAATCACGAGCCGAGGACAATACTTGGAGCCTCGAAGGAGCTACATCAGCTGGAAAGTTACAGGGAAACATCAAAGACAAACAAAAGAAACAAGGAAAGAATCCAAGAAACCGGGAAACTGGAGTTGCCAACACTTTTAAATCTGCTTCAGGGTCAACAGAATATCCAACATTCAATTTCTGGAAAATGAATAACAGATCTTGAAAATCTAGAGGTGCATGAAGTGGCCTGGCAGGAACAAGTAAACATGATGGGTCTATCACGAATGATTGATTACCTAGTCCGAACATACTGGTCTTTTGAACAACGAGCTGATTCTCCTTCTTTCCACAATAAACTGCACTCTTGATCCAGCTTAAGGAAAAACTTTTCGACTCTGGCTTCAGGATGGTCCATTGATCATATATAATCACCTCCGATGGAAAGTAGCTTGCATGGATGGTTCTAATACTCGAAGAAACATCACATGTTAAAAGAAGACCACTTAAAGCAACAAGGTTAAACACGTAATAAAAAATCACCATGCTAGTCACTAGCTACTGGATTCCATGCAACATGCTGTCCTAAACTCAATAACCTTTGGTAAGTCAGACAAACAAGGTTAATCTTGCTTGAAAGAAGAGGTTAAACGGGAGCTCGATGACATTTTGTGGAACCCTAGGCAATTTGAAGTGTACAAAGCAAAAGCGCCAGTAGGATGGAGCATAATTTGGCAATAAGTGAGTTATAAGTAAGCTGCCTATTTCAAACCACAAGGGGCTGAGTCGGATGGTGGAGATAGATGCACCAGTATAAGCCGCGTCTAATAACATTAGTACATTTCCATGAATGGTGATAATTACCGGAACTTAGGATTCGGAAGGATAACTTTGTAAGACAAAAATTCGTCTGGAAGAGCGGTTCCCCTCTGCTCAAGTTACGATCCAAGGATAGAAGCCTGCTTCTTGACCTCTTCTACCTGGAAACAGAGATTTATACATGGATCACTGAGGTTTTCCTCCCACCTCAATATCAATGCCTTGATTGTATGAAACTATGAATACAGGTTGACCTCACCATATTCCGTTGCATTTTACTTTGAATCTTCTAAACTGAACATAACAAATACCACTAACATTTTATGAAAAAAATAGACAGTATCTATGACTTACAGGGTTCGAAAGATGCTCAGCTTTGTTCCCATTACCCCCCTCACATACCCAGCTGCCATCGGCCTTCATTGATACTAATCCAGATAAGTTCTTGACAGAAATCACTGCTGCCTCCCTGTAAACCACCGTGGTTTCAGTGATGATTTATTGATTTTGGAACTTTGAAGATAACATAATTGATGAAAAACCATGATCAATCCAAGAAAGACCAGCTCATGGTGATATGATATCTCTCGCTGACACATTCATAGAGGCAGAAACACTCACCCTTTGGTTACTAGGACTACATCAATACCCTGACGTAAACCTGTATCAGGATCTGGAATCCGAAGCCCTACATAGACCTTCCCTCCATACAGCTTTTCAAGTCTGCAAATCAAGGCATACAAAAGCTGAAGGGCGCGGGAACTATATCAGTACACAAGGAAACTATTCCCAGTGGGAGTAGCGAAATCCATATATTTTAAGAACAGTTTCTCATTGCTTTCCAATTTGGATTCCAATCAGCGAACTGAGGGAGAGGAAGAGCAACGCAACCTACTCCGACAATTTCTCAGTAGCCAAACAAACTCATCGAATCTGAATCAGACTTGGAAAATTTCAGTGAAACGGAGCAGTATCAGATTGTGATAGTAATGACCTGAGAATATCCAGCGCTAATAATTTCTTTGTACTCTCGTTTTCTTGCAGTTTCTATCAGACACTCTCAGCAACCAAACAAAACAAGCTAGTAGTCAGGTGCAGAGGGAAGGCTACGGAAAAGGCTAATAAAAGCTAGAAAATGAGAATTTCGCGAGCGTACCGATTGGCGACGATGAAAACGGCGTTGGTGTCGGAGGTCTCGACATCTAGAACATCGTCGCCGGAGCAGAAGAAGCTGCGGAAGAGCTTGTAAACGATGAGTCCGCAGAGGATCTCCACCCACATGACGCCGACGACGGGAAGAGTGTTAGGAGAAGGAATGCGAAAGGCCAACACTGGTGAATTGACAATCGAGAACACTTCCGAAGCGCTTCTACGGTTCTACACTTCTACCCCAAGTTCTAAGTTCTCACAGCAGAAAATAAGAAATTTACAACTTATAAGTTATAACCACGGTTCTCAAACTAACACCATCAAATCGGTTTGAAAAGTGATTTGAGCTTTAATAGTCGGATTGAATTCAACTAGTTTAACTTGGTTTTAACTTTTAATTGAATAAGTGAGAAAACAAAGAGGTCATTCGGAGAATATGACTTTAAATCTACAGATTGTCAACAATTTAAAAATTGGCGGTGGACATCTAAGAGGTGAAGCTTGGACTAATCGTGAAGTTGCTGGGCGTCGAAGAAAAACGAGGAGGGAGTAAGGGTCAGGGGCTTTTTTGGAGGTTAGGAACCGGGAGATGGAATGGTAGTCGAGGTGGATAACGTCGGATTTGGACTGGGGAGAAAAGGTGAGCAATAAGGTCAGAGTCGGCAGCGACAATTGGGAGGAGGAGGAAGAAGAGGGAGAGGATGGGAGCTTTGGTAGATCGATTAAAATTTAAAAAATGGTACCACGTTAGAAAAAAATGTCAGCTTAAAGCTCAATATGCCACCTAAGCATCAACTAATGGAACTTAGGACGAAAACTTAACGGTTGGCTAATATTTCGTATTTCAAAAGGTTTGGCTAGAAAAAATGAATCCGAAAAAGATTTTGATAATAAATACTCATTACCCTATATTTTAAACTCATTTGATAACATGACTACTAATCTTATTGTGCATCGTATCATCAAATAGAACTTTGTCTATTGGTTAAGGCAACTTTCACATTTGTGACAATAATAGACTTTTTGAAAAATACACGAAATAGCCCGAATTTTGAAAGTTTCATGACAAATGTAGTCATTTCCGTTACAAACTTTAACAACGTAAGTGACACCATTAATTATTTTTAGGGATGGTTTCGGTTGGTAACCGTTTTAATCGGTAATTGACTAACCGGTTAATGGTATACAAAAATTCGGTGTGAAACTGTCAACTTCCGAACCAGTTTCAGCTCCGGTTATCCGAATAACTGTGAACAGACGAGAGGGGAATGTGCTACGTGTGCTCCTGCCCTGTTTCCCTCCCCTTTTGCTCTGCCTCTACTGGAGCTCGAGCTTCCCTAGCTAGCCTGACACAATACACAAATTAAAATTACAAACAATGAAACCAATTCCCAAATCATTCAACCAATTTGATAATTCTCTTAATAATGAAATTTCAATTGAAGAAGAGTCAAAAACCATAGTCCATAAGCTTCTTTCGCGTGCAGTGTCAGGGACAAGGGTTGGTGAGCCGACAACGACGTGCCAAAGGACACGGTGCAGGCAGGGGTGAGGTGCCTGGCAAGATGAAGGGGAAGGCGGAAGACGAGGAATGGAAGACGAAGGTGAAGATGAAAGACGAGGATTGGCAGACGAATCTGAGACGAGACAAGACGAGGGTTGGCGATTAGGGTTACTGGGTTGGGGTTGACTAGGGCTGGCAACCGGTCGGTTTCGGTTTAACCGAAAACCAAATTCTTGGTTTTCGGTTAAATCGAGACCTGACCAGGAGCCACCGGCCACCGACCGACCTCAGCGCCCCGGTTAGCCGCAAACTGACCGGGCGGTTTTTGGTTCAGGCGCGGTTAAACTAGGGCAACCGACATATTGGTGTGTGGTTTGGTTCAATGGCCTAACTGACCGCCAACCGCCCAAAAACCGACCGCCAACCGCCAAGACTGAGTTCTACCCGCCAAAACCGACCGTTAACCGGTCAAAACCGACCGGACAGCAAGGGAAAAAAAACCTAAAATGGCCTAAAATTAAAATCTCAAACCTACATTTCAATTCCTTTTGCACCGAAAATACATCTAAATTAGTAACTTAATGTCTCACATTCATTAATTCAACAACATAAACTCCACAAATCACAATAAATCCTCTAGATAACAACAAATCAACAACACATCATAATCTATCATCATTTATCACCGGCCTTAGAAGAACCAACATCTGCATAACCCTGTTCGTTCAATAGGGGAATCAAGTCATGACCATAATCGTCATATCCATCTTTCTCATATTCTTCCTCCGGTTCATCTTCTTCACCCTCCTGCTCATTCTCCACTGGAGTGTTGAGGCTTGCATTTGTATTGCCAACATTGCCAGTATTCGTTGCACTTTCCATTCTAGTTGGAAAGTGACATTAACTGAGTAAGAAAAAAAAAAAAGAAAAACAAAGTGTTAGTACATTCATACATTGAATTAGGTGAAAAGAAGACAAAAAACTGAACAATAAGAGAGTTTGAGAACTCACTATTTTCCAAAGTCAAATTCTCTTCATCATCTTCCTTGTCGTCAATCTCCCTGGATCCGGGATACCTTATCCAATCCTCAGCACAAATCAATGCCTCCACCATTAGGTCTCTCAAAGAGGACCTCAATGGACTGAGAATCCGCCCGCCACAACTGAATGTTGCCTCTGAGGCAACAGAAGAGACAGGAACAGCTAGGACATCCTTAGCCATCTCAGCAACAATCGGATAGATTCCAGAGTGTCGAGACCACCAATCCAAAATGTCAAAATTTGCATCATCACTCTCTTCATTGATACCATTGGTTTGACATTTCAAATAGATGTAAAGCTCAGCAGAGCTACCTCCTGTTTCCAGCAGAAGTGCTTCCCTTTTTCTCTTTCTAAGCCTCTCCTCCAATATCTTAATCCGATCACCAGCACCATCAACAGAACCATCATCAACAATGTTATCATCAGTGGTAGGCTGAGATGCTAACTCTGAGCCATACTTCCTCTTATAAATCTCAAACATCTGTCGCATCTCCCTTTTAATCCTAGTATGAATTTCCCCTCCTTTGAGACTTCCATAAATCATTACTAACACTTCAGACACAAGATCAAGATTACTTCTAGGATCAAGCACACATGCTATATAGATTAAATGATTCACCCGAGGATTCTCCTCATTCATGACAGCTGTGTCAAACCAATACTTTCGTACCTTTTCTTCAACCTTTTCTGCCATCCTTTTGAGCTCTTCACGCGGATCATTCTTCAATTCTTGAATGATTTCATAAATTGGAACAAGTTTCTTGAAGAAAAGATGGGTAGTCACATATTTAGTTCCTGTACAAATGAGAATAGAATACAGGAAATTAGACTTAAACAAACCAAAATTTTCAAATGTTCAAATTAAAATAAACAAATTGTCAAATTTCACTTACCCGAGACTAGGAGGGTAAAGTCATTAAAGACCTTCAGATACTTCATCAACTTTCTAATCAGACTCCAATCATGTTCAGTTGGAAGACCACCTCTTGTGTCAATATAATCCCTGAAGGAATGATCATGTATACTTGTATGCAAAGTGGTAAACACTCCACCAAACCTTTCTGCTGCTTCTAACATGATATAGGTGGAGTTCCACCTGGTCGGTACATCCAAACACACCAATTTGGTAGAATCCAACTCCAGAAATTGCATAGCAGTCTTGAACCTTGCCAACCTAGCTGGTGATGACCTCGCCCACTTCACACAGTCCCGAATTCTATCCACAGCTCCTCCGATTACTTTCAATCCATCCTGCACTACCAGATTAATGATGTGTGCGACACATCGAAACTGCAGATACTTCCCATCCATCAAATCACACCCCCACGCCTTTAATTTCCTTCTCATGCAATCACTCATAATATCATTTGTAGATGCATTGTCCATGGTCATGCAGAACAAATTCTTCACCTTCCATTCTTCAAGAATTTCTGCAAGCTTCTCTGCAATATCATTTCCTGTATGACTTGTGATGGGAACAAACGAGGTCACGAAGGTGGGTGGCTAAGCAATCTGCCGCATTTTTACTGTGTGTAAATTAGTTGGAATCAGTTTCAAAATACCGACTAGCCGGCGGTAAATAACCGGCACACTGCCGGTATAACGTCTTCCCCCAACGCTCCTCCGCCAACCATTACCTCCCGATTAACAATACCGGGCACGTCACGTCACCGACAACTCAATCACAAGTGACACGTCATCTAAGCGATGATGACCATTATATGGTTAATTAGTTTTAGCTTTATGGAACTTAAAAATTAGGTAACAGGTAAATGATAAAAATAATATGAAAATTTGTGGATAATTGTACATCCTATGTGGCGAAAAATTACTCTAAAGCGGTCATAATATAAGTTAGAAAAAATAAGATAAGATAACAAAAAAAATAGCAAGGATAGTAATGACTTAGGGTGCTTATTGATCAAGGAGGAATTTTACAATGTTATAAAGTATTGGTGCTATAGGTTTTTGTTTTTACGGTACAATTTGAAGTTGTACTTTAATGTTATGGTACAACTTCTAATTGTACCTATACTCTTTTGTACAAGTTCTTTTATGATACAACTTGAACTTCTACATTTATATGATGTTACAACTTTAAGTTATAAAGTTGTATCATAACATAAAGATACAAATTCCTTTATGGTACAACCTAAATTTATACATTTAACGTTATGGTACAACTTCAAATTGTACATTAAATCACCAATATTTTATAGTATAGTAGAAGTGCTCATTGATCAAGATGATAATTTATTTTTTTATTTTTATTTTTCTGTCTCTTATCTCATATCCTTCTTTTCCTATCTCTTATCTTCTATTATGAGAACATGTTATTGTGACCATCTTTTAATTAGTAGTGGTCACTATGACAATGAAGGGCAAACTAAATTTTAAAAAAATAAAAGAAAATATGTATTAACTGCATTTCTTTTGATTTCATATGTTTCTTAGTGGAATCTTTACTGAGATCATTAAAACCAATCAAGAATAACAACCGTCTACCCTGTAATCCCAAAAGAAAATATTAATTGTTAGTGATTCTCAAAAATTATTTTTTTGCTATAGATCGGGTAAGTTATAGATATTACAGGACGCTAGACAACAAGATGCGACAGTCGACACTGAATCGAGCTGTCGATGTCAGGGCATTAGTAGCCACTAAGTGGGCAGCCCTGTTGTACAACCTCGATGAAAGTACAATCAAA